CGTTAGTCCATCGGCCTTTGCGATTTCCAGACCGACGTTATCTTGCAGCGTTTGTTCAAGCAAGCAAAGTCTCTCCAGCTTCCCACCTTTTGGGTGTCATCAGCATGCAAGCCTGTAGACCATTATGCTAGGGTGCTTTTTGGCAAGGGAACTGCGTCTGCACAACGGTGCCATGTTCAACGCAAAAGAGCAATGCCGCGTAACGTGCGTGGCTGTGGAGCGCTGTTTGCTGAAAGTTCGGATAACGGATACAGTCAGAGCGATTGCCTGCTCCAAATGAGCGTTGGGGCAGCGCCGGATTATCCTAGAAGCAAAAGTAGCTACATATGTAGTAGCTACGGGCCCCGCACTTTCAAGGGCCCCGCGCTAAATGTTTTCAAGCTATCAATTCCGGTTCAGTGATTCAGCACTTGCTCTATTACCATAGTACTATACCGCCTTCGACTTTTATGAACGACTGGGTGTTTAAGGTTAGCGATTTGTCGTATTATCTGGCTGTACAGCAAATGAAAAAAATACAATTAATTTACTATGCAAGTTATAAATTTGTGTTTTAATATTTATGTGTTTGTATTTGTATTTAAGGCCCCTTTATAACAGCTGCTACAGGCCCAGCACGAGCTTAGTCCGGCACTGCGTTGAGGCGGTACTCGCCAACCGTTTGCAGCCACGAACCGGTGGTGGAAATTCCTCTTTCCTATGGCGAGAGTCGGCGCCTCTCCATAGGGCAATCAAATGTGTTCTTCGTCACAAAGCGGCACTCATTTAAGGCACCCCAAGCGCACGAGTCAGACACCACCTCCCCGCAAGCGGGATTCGAACTCTCAACCTTTGGTTTGCGAGCGACTCAATCAAAACTTACCGCCGTGAGCCCATCTGCCCATTAGCTTCCCCGCACCAACATCATCCACGTCCCGGCGAAACCATTCATAAGCTCGCTCCAGCGTCCTCGCAATCGTTTTTTTTTTTACAGCGGTGCAATCGCCCCTGAAAGCTTAAAGTGTTAATTTTAATTGTTTAATTGTCGTCCACTTCCTGCCTCCCTCTATTTAACACGGGCCATCATACAGCGCGGCCTTTTAGTGCGTGCCGGCCACCTAGTGAGACGCCGGGTATTGAAATGCACGGGATTGTTGTTGGGCTTTACAACAACAAAAAGAATCAAAGCCACCCCTCCCCCCCCTCGTTAATTCAAACAGATTGTAAATGTTGTGGATTTGCTCTCCAACACATCGGTGTGCTGTACTAGTAACGAATTTGCATGTTCTGTTTACGTGACAAAGCTTCCTAATTGGCTGTGTCGGGTGGTGGCGGGTTTAACAACACATTTATATATTTACGCGATCTAACCCAAAAAAAACCACCTATATTATGGATTATACTGGTCGCGAAAGCCTACGCGTTAAACCAAACGGAGCTTGTTGTGTGTGTGTATCTGCAGCAGCAGCAGTAGCTGCACTGGTGCCCAAAGTTTCCATGTCGTGTTTTTGTGTGAGTGCGTGTGTTAACACGTCGCCAGATTGTTTTTTTTTATTTGCACACGATTAAAAGGAATTGCCACCGTCATCACACAGGCGCATCCTCGTTTACGAATAGACGCGGGTTATTATTCTACAACAAGTAAGCTAACGCCAAGTCAATGCAGCCTTTATAAGAACTCGGCTGTAGGACAGTCATCTGAAACGTCGACATCCTCCCCCCCCACCCCCCAGTTGTTGGCGGAACGTAACCGCTTTTTGTGTTTATTTGGCTCGTTTGAAACGGCAATTTTCAGAACGAGGAGCACTGATGGGAAAGGATGCGCAGGTTACGGTTCAAATATGTCAAGAACAGTGAGCTTGGGATGGGTCAAGAGTCTTTACGGATTAGCAGCCAGTAAAATGGAACGCGTCCCCGAAGGATGACCACCAAGTAGATGGAGCGATGGAACCGGCTGCACGTGGATTATTAATGACACCGCACGACCGTGAGATACGGCGAAAGCACGAGGAGGCCTCCATCTAGCAGTGGATCGATCGTGACTGACAATGATGATATAGTGCAACAGTATTGGTGCAGCAACACGCATTCTAATCTGGAGGGCAGTTTTTGCTGTTGATATCAACGTTTTGGCGTGCACGGTTATATATGTCCAGCCACTGCCTCTGTACGCAATCCTGCTTGTCTTCGATTATATTTGAAAACAGTTGCATGATCCAGCCCGCAAGGCACGTTTTGAGTTGAATGCTGGTGGTGCGCATTCGACACGTCCGCAGAAACCACATCTCGCACGCCGCCTCGCTGCCTGCCCGATGCTCGAGCGTGAATCGAACGGCGAGGTGAGCACAGCTTTGATTTGAAGGCGCAGCGTATTGGGGGAAAAAAAACCGCTTCTCCCTTTAAATAACTTAACAGTGCTTATAGCTAAATGAAAATATCATGTATGTGTGTGAGAGAGAGAGAGAGGCCTTTTCTAACTCGTCTGTTTATACGCTTTGCAAGTGTCTGTATGCTTTTTTTATTCTCCGTGTGAATTGCTCTATAGTCTATACAGACGAATCATATCGCACGTTGCGCAAAAGCAGCCTGCATTGTGACACTCAACGCACTGCCGCTTATCCTGTGGGTGCCATAGGCAACCCCCGTGTAAGGCTCGGTCGAGCTCTCTGTGTGTGTGTTGCGTTGTGGCACATTCACATTCGTTTCCTCAATTCAAAGTAGATGCGCGTGAGTCAAGAGTTAATCATCTTGAACGATTCCATCGTCCAGCGTTGTGGCTTCCCACACGTCTCAAAGCAAAGTCCAAGTTGTGCGTGTTTGTGTTTTCAAACGTGGGCAGCCGATGGTGTAGCGGTCAGCGCGCTGCGCTACGAACCCGGTGACCCAAGTTCGATTCCCGCTCACGGTCAACACCGGTGACGACTATCTGAAACGGTCGTGGGTCTCCCCCTAGGTCGACTCAGCCTCAAATGAGTACCTGGTGCGGTGTGTAAACATCGCCACTGGGGAGACAAAAGCGGCTGGGCGTGGTGTTGGCCACCCACCCCCTCCATGTGCCGTGCCGGCCTTCATAGGTGCTCGCTAAAAGCACTTGCCCCGACAGTCTGTTCAGGCTATACGGGGGATCTTTGTCTTTGTTTTCCAACGTGTCTCTATGATGTCGACGCAGTGGCCGACGTATCTTTCTTAAGGGAAAGCCATCCACGCAAATATTTCAGTCGCGTGTGTGTTTTTACTCACGCTTCCTATCAACTTTACTCACCGAATGACTCATGCGCAACAGCGTACGCTTCAAAACAGTACTACGCTGCTATGATTATCCTGCGAGCTGGCGAATAGATGGAAGGCTAGGCACATCAAGAGATTATTGACTCTATCTGTGCAGAGTTATGAGCATTATGCGTGTACAGTTTTATCTCAGAGAATTCGGGTTTTAGCCGCAGGCGAAGCCAACAAATAACGAATGGCAGTATGCCAAATATCCTCAATCAGGACTCTCCTGAAGAGCGATCCTGAGACTCTCGGTCTTTCTGGGATAAAGGGCACTTGAAAAAAACACACATCGTCATCACTAACATCAAGAGGTATGTGGATGTGTCTCAGCTCAAAAAAGGAATTGAGCGGCCCTCATCTCGTTTTGGTGGAAATTCCACGTGCCCATGGCGAGGGCAGGGACTTTGTTTTTCGCGTTTCATCATTCCATTAATTCCCGGCTCATGATAAAAACTGCGTGGGTGTCGAAACCCGAAGAGAACCGAAATTCGCCTGCGCTGCATTCATTTATTATTTTACCAAGTAAGGCCCTCCGAGATATTTTGCTCTCGTTAAATAAGCGACCTAGCCACAAATGACAACTCGGCGAAGTGGCTTCATCATGCGGAAATGTATCGCAGCCAAATCATATTTTTTCCGCATGTTGAGTCTAAATGTATAGAGGGGTTAAAACCGGAGGACCCGGACGAAAAGAAAATCCACGCGACCACGAGGAGAGAGAGAGGCATGCGGACTCCAAATATCCAGCCGTCAGGGATGGGATCGAATTCACGACCTCCTTGCATACCCGGCGAAGTAGTAAATGTCGTCGCCCACCGCGGCCCATCTCTTTGACTTGAGCACGAGGCCGTTCGCAGAACCCAGCTCCCACCCCCGACACAGCTCGGCCAGGTAATGCGCGCACTTGAGCAGAGGAGCTTGTCAAGAGCACAGATTCCTTTTTATTGTGCCCCCATTAAAACGGATCCTCTAATCCAGTACCCACATTGCGATGTATCATAGACCTATGTAGAATTAATTTCTCCGTAGAACTTATAATACGCCCTTGCGTGATGTTCGCACGTTCTTCTCTATAATCGAGGTCTGTGGTAGAGGCTGTATTTAGACGCTATGAAGAAATGTCGCATACACTATACAATGTGATGTGTATGCCGGACGGCGCCTGCTGTACACGTGTGTAAAATGTCTAATTTATAAGTACTTTATATAATTGCATAGAGTACTCCCAACGCCGCTTTCAGTACGTGGGTACACTTTTGCAAAACTTGACGGAGGATATACTGCGCCCTGCCATGGGAATGCGGAATTTCCATCACTGCGTGAATGTCGCCAACGGATATGAACTCCTCATTTCTATCGCTCGTGTGACCAACAAACGATAAGTCATTGACTTTCCTCCAGTGTCTTGCGTGAGTAGCGACGTCTAGTTTGGATTATACACTCTTTACTTACTGCAGTTAGACCCGCCACTGCAGCAGAGTGCATTTAAAGTACGTGCTCCAAGTGTTGTCAATCTTTTACATTCGTAAGACGGTTAAAACTGGCCGTGGTGACACTATCCCTAGTCTCTGATACCGCTGAAGCTTCACTGCATTGCTGTGCTGTATGCACAGCAGTTGCACGTGTTTGCGTGTAGGTACGTGCGTGCGACAAGTCTGTGATGTTTCAATAAAACAAAAAAAAACACAGCGCTCCAAAAAAAAACACACAATGTGAACGAGTGGTCTCAGTGGACGCGGCCACTTTACCTTCGTTTGAAGCCACGGCGGTGCAAATCCCAAGAAATCCGGCGAAAATCCAAGTTAGGGAGAGAGCGGCGAAATTTCCCGAGGCCATGGTCCCAGTGTGTGCGTGCAGGCGCGTGCGTGCGCGCGCGCGCGAGACGTGCAGGAGTCGGGGTTCCGAACGAGGACGCTCCCTCTGCGAGGCGAGTGGAGGATGCGAAGCCCTTAGCCCGCTACCATCCAGCCGAGGAGACGGCAGAGGAGCGAATGATTGTCGGGCTGCTCTTGCCTCGCCAGCAGCGCGCAAAAGCGCTGAGCCAAACCCCTCCCTCGATCCAAGCACCCCCCCCCGCCCACTCCCTCCACCCTCCCCTCCCTCTATCCACCACCTCCCTCCTATCCCTTAACCCTACCCCCACACAGCGCTCACGACTGACCCTACCCCCATCCGCAGGCACAAAGACAAAGATCCCCCGTGTAGTCTTTAGCGGACTTGGGGCAAGTGCTGTTAGCGAGCACCTATTAAAGGCCGGGACGGTACACGAAGGGGGTGGGTGGCCAGCACCACGCACGGCCGCCTTTGTCCCCCAAGTGGCGATGTTTACACACCGCACCAGGTACATCTTTGAGGCTGAGTCTACGTAGGGGAGGCCCAGAACCGGTTCAAATAATCGCCACTGGTGGTGGCCGTGAGCGGGAATTGAATCCGGTCCGCTGGGTTAGTAGCGTAGCGCGCTAACCGCTGCACCACCGCTCCCCCAGTCACTCACTCTCGCAGACACAACGACAGAGATGAATCACTTCCCTCTGTTAACCCCCCTCCCGTTTAGCCTTACGGACTGAATTGGGCAAGATATGTTTGCGAGCACCTATTCAGAATCGGAATATGTATTCATACTGGAGAAAATACGACGAGCTATGAAGCTCGTTTGCACAGATGTCCCGTTGTTTTCACAGATGTGGAGTATTAAGTGAGGTCGGCGTATCACACGAGGAAACGGCGTAGCTTGAACTACCCCCAGCGCTGATGAGTGTAACTCACTCCATCAAGAGCTCATTTAAGGCTGGGTCGACCTACGGGCAGGTCGAGCCAGGTTCAGATAGCACTTGGCGCTGATTGTCAGTGGTCGTGAATCGAACCCCATCTCCCTAGACACCGACACTTAGACCTTACGAACAAACACGAACGCATCCCATATGGTCTTATAGACTGTTTTGGGGCAAGTGCTGTTAGTGAGCACCTATTCAGCCACCAACAAAGACACATACACATGCCACCAACCATAGCTACCACCACCACCCACCCACCCAACCCCAAACCACAAGCTTCCCACCCTACCCCCCCACACATATCCATCCACTGCCGAACTCAACCACCCCTTTCCATCTCATCGCCTCATTTCCTACCCCCCCCCCCCCCTCCTAATGTCCCTGCTCCTACCCTGTCCCCTCCCCCACTTCGCCTTACGCTGTTTTCCTTTAGTCTGCCCCTCCACCCGTAGACAGAGCTCGTCGAGCCGTTAAGCCTCTTCTCCGTTGCACCTCCGCAGCTGACAAACGTTGGTGCTGCAGCGTCGACTGAATTGTCTCCTTGGCCTGGGGAAATTCAACTGTTTAAAGTCTGGGAGAAGTCAACGTTGTATGTAACGTTGAGCTTCTTTCGCACCGTACGTAACCAACCGTGCTCATCGGAGGTGCGGATTTCGTATTAAGTGGTCCCACATCCCTGGCACGGGGAATGCGGAATTTCACACCGGGTTTCGCCGTGCGTGGTACCGATATCCACATTCCTATTGCAGTAACCAGAGGTATTAATAGTCCCAGTCATTGGGACGACGTTCATCTCCATTGGTGGCCTTGAATACGTGGTGGGAATGCCACATTCTCATGGTTGAAGCTGTATTTCATAATTAGTTACTTTTTTAAGTTTTTTTCAAAATAGTGCACGCTACCTGTGGTGGCATGCGTTTCAGAAACGTGGTTATTGAAAAAATAAGGGAATAAAAAGTGATATGTGGACAAGGATGTATCAAGAGATGCATGCTTGGAATGGCATTGGGAGACAGAAAGAGTAACACGTGTATTGTAAAACACACGCAGGTTAATGACACCACCCAAACCGGAATTGGGCATGACACATCGCGAGGCGAGATGACTAATGGTCAGCGGTTACGATTACTGACGCCTGCATATTTGGAGTTTGCATGTCTCTCTTCCAGTTGTCGCGTCGGTTTTTGTCGAGGTTCTCCCATTTTCCCCTCTTCATTTAGAATCAACGTACGTTTAGAATATTTAGCTGCTATAAACTTCCACGCGATAAGCCACTTCGTTAAGTTATCATTTGCGGCCAGGTCGCTTCTGAAAAATGTATATAGCTCAGTGGGCCTTACCTGGTAAGATGAAAATAGTTCCGTTCATAGTTGCTTTAAGTTTTAGTTACGTTCAGTTTAATTTATGATGGGATTGACATCCCTTGAATGGGACACATCCAAGAGGATGTCCACCGAGAAGGTTGAGCAATAAATAAGCTTTTGGATTCGTACATCCCAGGATCACAAAAGATTATATTGGCGTGGGAAGACATTCATCTAGCAGTGGATTAATCATGGCTAAAGGTTATGATTCTAGGGACCTTTCTGAATCTATGTCTGTCAGTCATAGCACTCTCTGAAGTTATATTTGTCATACAGAATCGAGTAAGAGCTCATTCTGACTGAAAGGAGTCTTATTATGAGGTCCGTTGCTTTGCCTTACAACTTTCAAACAGAATCAGTTGATGTTGAAATACACTACATATTACGTCTGTCATGTATTTGGCTGTGTGCGCGTTGAGTATCTGTAATAAACCTGACTTGGCTCTTTCTGGCAACAGTAGCAGAACCATGAACCTAATTTTCAGAATTGTAAATGAAATATAAAGTTTCACTCCAATCAATTATTCATCCTATATATTCATCATGACCATCGCTACCACCAACACCATTGTTCTTCCAGTCCACTGTGTGTGGAGAATCTGTAAGCAGACACGAATTATACTTGGCTTCTGAGAAGCTGCAATCCATCTCACTCCCCAATGTTTGTCCTGATTAATCCATTCCATCTCCACTTTGGCCATTCATCCCTTCATGCGCGTTCATTCTCTCCACTGTCATTCCTTCAATAGCTTTGTTCATTGATTGCCTTCGAGCGGAATATTCCGCTCACGCCCGTTTTTTTTTTCTTTTCTTAATACGAACTATGATGTCTGCCTCTGTAGGCCCTCGTCTTTGTTCCTTGGTCCACATGTCTGCATGGTACAATACAAACCTCGCATCTGCTCGTTTGGACGGTGACATCTCACAGCATTACAGGGGCTGTGAGGGTGCTCTACGTCTCACCATGAAGCTCGCAACTCAGCGATTTGTCACCACCAGTTAATTCTGGTAAAGCCAGCGGGGGGGGGGGGGGGGGGGATAGGAAAGCGTTAAAGTTGACCACGAAAGGAAGTCTTTCGTGGCCAACTTGAGCAATAGGATTAGGCAAGGATCAATAATTGCCAGAGCTGTCAAGCTCTACATTAAATACGGTGCAAAGGCAGTTTAATACATTGTTTTTATGTTTCTTATACTTGGTTAACCTTATATTTTATAAAACAAACATTTTGTTATCGCAACGTATTCATAATCAGGGGCTATCAAATTGCACAGGCAAAATGTAGTACTGCTCTGAACGTAGCAAATTACTCAATTGGGATGACGCACAGCAATCACCGGCCACTACTGCCAGACTAAAGGCCTCTGCGTGGCCCGTTGTACCATGCAGGGACAGCTGCCACCAGGGTTACCCCTCGAATGTTTGAGGTGAGATGTGATGCAAGGCGCCATGGGTTTCCGAGGCATTTAGGCACCGTATGAAAATGTGATTAGTATTATTATTGTTGCTCCCTTTGTGTTACAACACAGTCTACTGCTGTTCGTGTGTCTTTGTAAGATGAAAGCATGATGCGATGTACAATGTATCAGCATTGAGAGCAAAACACTCGCCATCTAAACATATTTAGTCAAAAACTGAAGAAATAGATGGGCAATAGCGTGACCAGAGCTTGACTCACGAACAAAAAGTTGCAACAATTCGGATCCACGATAAACTTCGCTTATTAACCCTCTATGATTGGTGCAATTAATATCGCTTTGTGGGAAATCAGCACCGGTTAATTACCAGTTACTTCTAGAGACTGGCTCCTGCCATGGGAATATGGAATTTATACCAGAGGCTCGGGGTTGCCACACAGAGGAACTTAGACTTGACTTAATAATGTAATATACATTGCAATAGCCTACATTACGACACTTTGTTAATATTGATTGTTTCATTTGCTTGCCTCATACTGCATCAAACTTAAAAAAAAATTGAGCTTTGGCTGGTTATCTGGCAGCCTATAGTTAGGCAGGAACCCATCCTTCAGCAACGACATGAAGGTGTATGTCATGTTAAAATGCAAGCCTGTATTTAACGCTCTCACCGTCAGTCACGTGTGCGCGCGTGTACGCGTGTGCTGCGGATTGTGCTGAACTTAGCAGTGAGTAGGAGTTCTCAAACAGCACCTGTCGGTATGATATATCGGGATCTTATGTGTGGGAGTGTGTGTGTGTATTATGTGTGGGTGTGTGTGTGTGTATTATGTGTGGGAGTGTGTGTGTGTGTGTGTATTAGATCACCCTGCGCTGCGAACCGGCGACCCGAGTTTGACTTCAGCTCACGGCCATCAACACCAGCGATGATAATCTGAACCAGTCACTTGGGTCTCCCCTCAAACGAGCACCTCGTGCGGTGCGTAAACATCGCCACCTGTGGAATACAAAGGCGGCCGGGAGTGGTGCTGGCCACCGACACCCTCCTGTGCTATGCCGGCATTCATCTGTGCTCGCTAACAGCATTTGCCCCAATAATCTATAGAGGGGATCTTTGTTATATCAGCCTCGAATCGTTTTCCCCGTTTACGAATTGCAAAGACCACAGGCAGTGTGTCTCCATTCTCCAATAAGCATTGACCAGTGTTGATCTTCATAGAGGCCCTGAGCCAGTGATGGAAACTCAACAATCCTATGGCACGAACCAATCTCCACTATGATTACTTTACGTGTATGACCAACACTCCGAAATGAAATAATTGCGTACTGCACCACTCTTAAATTCTAATTCTCTATACTTTTCTCTTCATCTAATGAGAGTAAATATCCAAATATGAAATGTGTACGCATGCAGTGCTGGTATCTTTCTAAGTCACGTACGCAGATTTAATGAATGGCAAACTAATACATATCAGAAGGCGGAGTTAGGC